AAAAACTATTATTTTTAGGTAGAAAATGTCACCTTTGTAAAACACACACCGGTTTTAGTTTACGCTAACAATTCACGATTAGTAGTAAGTAAAATACTAGAGTATTAAGTTAACATTTATTTATTAAAATATTACTAAATAAAGGCAAAATTCTTAAAGTGTCCGCCATCATTTCTAATGCAAGCTTGTGCCCTTTTTCTGATTTCACCGCGAGTAAGTCGATTATCTAAGTTGTTTCTTAATTCTTGTAACCTCAACTCGAGGGCTATGGCTAACGGCAGCTTTACAGTGGTGAGATGGGTCGATGGGCTAATGTTGTTCCTCAATACTTACGTGCATAATTCCAAAAGACAACAAAAAAAAAATAAAAATGGGCGCCAGTGTCTTATTTGGGCCAGTTGGTAAAGTCCCCATAATCCAGACACAAACTTAAATGGGCATAAGGACAATTAAAAAAAAAGTCATGTTTAAAAATTATTAAGTATAATAAAATTTGGTTATCACCGTTGTTAAGGTGATTTCATTTGAAAATGATTATTATTATTAGGACATTTATTTATGTTATTGGTGCACCCTTATATGGCCATATATGGTTTACAAAGAACCAAATTCGATATGACTAAATTTAACATTAGCAAAACTTTACTGGTAATATAAATAAAACTTTAGTTACGATAAATAAAGGTTGAAGACCAAGTTAAAATTTCCTTAATTTAAAAATACACAAAAGTTAACGGCGTGTAGTGAACACTGTGTTTCTTGAAACATTACTATAACTTAAAAGTGGTTACGACCTGATTAGCTGGAGCTCTGGTGGATCCTGGAGAATTAGGAATCCTACGTAGTGGTTCTCTTGTTGACTCAAAAGTTGGTTTTGATGCCAAAACAGTCAAGGAAAACTCCCATAAAAACTGGTTGAACCCGGTATAAAATGGTACAGGAAGGACCTCCTTACTTAAAATCTGATTTTAAGTACATTAAAATCCGTACTTAAAAACCCTAAAATAACATAAAGATGCCTTAGCATTCAGCAACTACAGTCTTCCAGACTTACCCTTGTTCTAAGGAGTTTTTTTTAACCAATAACGTCACGACCGCATGGAGACTAGGTCAACAAAAAATATATTGGATTCAACAACCACCTAAAATGGAGAACCGCGTGGGTAAAAAAAATTAGGTTCAGCAACAAGTTAATAACTCACCCTGAGCTCATCGTACCACACAAAAAATTGCTTTAGTCGAAAATATTACAATTAGATTGAGAGATTTACCACTTATTATTGGAACTTTTTCATAATTTAAGCACAGACTTAACTCTCATCTAATCGCTTCAACAACCAAATCGAAAAGGACGCTTAATTCCTAACTTGTTGCGTAGTAAATTTAGTGCGTAGCTAAATTAATGCGTAGAAAACCTGCTGGAAAAATCGCGAACCCAATCTGGCTATGTTGCCTATGTTAACAAACATTTTTTAAAAGAATTCCCACAAAGTCCACCAGAACTCAAGCCTCAAACACAAATACTCCCTTAGTAAACCCTACACCTATACCCTTCTGGTGACATTTTCAAAATTCAAAATAATGACCTGCCCCAACGCAACTATTTGGAGAATTCCCTCTACTAACACAATAAAACTCATAAATATATCTTTAACTCCTGTCTTCTAGATGGTTAAACTTAACATTAAAGTCTCCAACTATAATAATATGAGTATCTATAAAGTTTAGTGTATTTAACATCTCATTGAGTTTGCTATAAAATATATTAATGTTACCTGAAGGGCTTCGATACAAAGTTATAATTGTAAGATTTATTGAGGGGAAAAATTAACCTGTTAATTCAAAATCTTTTTCTACAGAGATTAAATTAAGGTTTTTAATTTCAGAAAATTTTAAATTTCTAATTGCTAATTGAAGTACACCACCATGTATAAACTGTGTTCTTGAAAAGTTGAAAGTTTTTGTAAAGTTTTCAATTTTTCCATTTCAATTGCCGGAATCCTGTGCTCTGCTAAACATATAAAGTATTTATAGAACCTTTAACTGATTAACATAACAGAGATGTTATCGCGGAGAGGTCAAAAACCGATCTGTCCCTTTTACAAAGCCCAAAAGGGAAAGTAGGTAGTTTATAAATTCTATAAAATAGCACAGCACTTGACTTCTCTGTTGAATAAGAACCGGAGGAGTCAAGTGTCGTGGTGCAGGTATAAAAAGAAAGGGCATTATGTATAACTCGCTAAAATACAACTCAAAACTTAAAAGCCTTAAATAATATTTGGATTTATAAAATGTAGTGTATAAAAATAAGTATAAGAATAATTTTTATTCTTAAAATAAACTTGACGTCTAGGCCTGTTATTTCCGCTGACAATTTAGGATCTTTAAAGAATCTACGGCTTGTATTTCCATCATTGGAATTGCCTGTTGAGTCTGGCCAAGTCTAACTTCCAAACGGTAAGAGATACATAATTGCGGTTTGATTTATTTAATTCAGCGTGGCCGAATTAGTAAGAAAACATTTGATTTATTTATTACTTGCATGCATCAAATATGTTCAGTGCTTTTTGGGCGTCCTCTCTATCCACAACTTGGCTGCGGTTTAATTTTGCAAAGGTTCGGCCGACAAACTGATAGTAATGCCCGTGCTGAGAACTTCTTTTCCTGCCTCAAGTTCACATACCAGTTGGTGATGTATTCGTTCAGTTCGGGATCAATTGTTGAATTCAACTCGCGGCACATCGTTACTGCCTTGATCAAATGGCCTACTTAGAGGAGGGGGGGCTTGTTGTTCTTCGGTATGTTGTTTCAGCATGAATTTAGGATAATCCTCTGGCATGCTTTCCTTTATTACCAGGTCAAATCGGCTTGCGAAAGCCTTCCCTCTACTTTCGGCGAAGTTCCCGCGTGACGCTGCCAGTATCGAGACCTTGCTCTTCTGCCAGTATCGAGACCTTGCTCTTCCGTGTGATAGACACATTTGCCTTAGCCAGGGAGATCCTGTTTTTTTTTCTGCTGGCACAAAGCTTCCATATACCTCAATTGTTTCCCTCCGAGAATGATTGAAGAAATTTTTGTTCATTCTCACGGTCATCCTTTTAAGACTGTTTGAAGTTGATGTTGGTTGCAGTTCAAACGTGATGATAGATTTATACCTCGTGTATTAAGAAAACATTTTCAATTAAGAATTGTAACATTCTGGACTGTCGCACATCGCGTTTCTTGGAATACTTGCGTTTAATATTATTTTTTTGGAATAAATTCTAAGGCACCTCCCACAACATTGTGATATAACTTTGGCCTCCATGGTATGTGTGCCGATGTAAGATATAACACCTAAAATTCTCATCAACTTTCCTACGTGGTCAGACTTCAGGTGTTCGAGTTTCGTTATTGGTCATGATTGGTCAATAAAGCCGATTGCAGGGGCGAATATTTCATTAAACAACGGGCCTATTGAATATTGTTTATACATGCTTTGTTTAAGTGTAGGTTCTCCCAGGTTGAATGATTTTTGAGCCAGATCTGCATACTTAACGCAGTTCCCGATTATTCTATTCCTTAAACTTGTGCCGTCCTCTGCTGCAATAATAGTTTAAAAATAGCTCCAACAAAAATTCGCCTTGGTAAAAAATTAAGTTATAGACATTCGACTACTTTTTATTTAAAGTTAATTATGATTCCCAAAGCAGTTACTACCACAACAGATTTCCTGATTTCCTGCAATTAATTAACTTATAACAGTGAAGGGACCCTGTGTAAAAGGTTATGTTAATAATGATGAAGAACATTTAGACGAAAACACACATTTTAAGGAACTAAATGAAGTGAATAAAAATCAGAATTTTCTGAGGAATTTTTGTTATGGTTTAAGGTTTAGCAGTATAATCTTTATAAAATCTGAAAAATTCTTGGTTTTTTTCTTTCGTTGATCACGTTTCTTAAAACATTCTTATTCAGCTTCAGTATCAGTACACTCTTTAATTTGTTTTCTACGACTAAATCTGTATTAAAAGTTTTAATATTGTTATACTTCAGGATACAATCCGACTTTGAGGCACAAACTCTGGGTTTTTCTTAAAAATTTCCTTTGACCAAATGTTAAATGTGCTGGCCAGAATAGTTTGTAGCTGTGTTCGGGCAGCATACAACTTGCGGGGATTTCCCCTCTTGCCCACCAGCGGATATTTTGGGAATTATGACGACCATGTAATGAAAAACTCGACTCATCCGTAAAAAGGATGTTTGGGATGAAATTATCATCCTCGTTCGCCTTGTTCATTACATATTCGCAAAATTCCATGCGGCGATCTGAATCGCCCAGGTGTTGCTCGTTACCCCCTTCAATTTATAGGAATGATACCCATGCTTGCGTAAAATCTTGGAAACCGTATCCTTGGAAATATCAAACTGAGCAGCAAGTGTTCTGGTAGATTGTGTAGGGTCTTGCTCACACTTGCACAAATCAAAATGTCCCTTGCTTCTCTATCGTCATTCCGCCTTGGCTGCCGTTGTGTCTTATACCTCTGCGGTGAAAGGCACCCATGCGTTCGAATATTGTACATTATGTATAGTTAAGTTTTTAAATATTTTATATAGTGAGCTCTAAAGATTAAAAACATTAAATATTGTAGGAAATAAGATAATTTAGGATTTCATATAAAAAATACATGCTATTTAATTAAAACCTGATTGTAGTTTAAAATTTATGTTTTATAGAAAAGAATAATGAAAAATAAAACTTCATTAATAATAAAAATATTTATTTTATGATAAATCATCACTGTCGCTCACAATATTGGCTAATAAATTATAGATTTGGGCCTGAACCCTACGACGTCGCCTTGAATTCCTTATAGACGCCAAACTTTGATCCACTGCCAAAGCAAATGCTGGAACCGCTGGCGTTGGTGCACTTTTTTTTTAAATACCCTTGAATGGTGGATAGGGTAGATTCTAAAGCCTGGGGCATGGGCTCCTCTGCTCGGGCCCTCTTGGACTTAACCATCCGCCTCAATGTGCCAGCATGCTCTACGTGGTGGCTCCCACTTTAAGGTTTTTAATCTTTGCAGATCCTCTGGCCTACTTTCAGAGGCATCCTTTTCTACAGCAGACTTAGCTGTCCTCACACTTTGACTTTCGTCTTCTGCTGCAGACTCAATCAACTGGGATACTGTGTTCCAGGCACTACAGCTTGGAACGTCCTCTTCATATTGCAGCTGGTGCATTTGTGCAACTTCCCCAGTAATTCCAGAGGAGATTTGGGGTGAGTCCTCTAGTCGTTCAACAACATTCCCATTATTTCTTCTTCTAAAATTAAATATTTTTTATTAATTTTATAATAAACAAACAATATATGTTATTTACTTTCTGGATGAAATGAAGGCATCCAAAAATTCCATAGCTTGGTAATGGGTCCACTGGGAGGTTGCATGTGAGCCCATACCAGATGCTGTAGAAGCCTTTTCGGATCGCTTTTTAGAGAATCTTTTTTCACACTTTTTAGCTAAAAACAAATAAAAATAAATTTAAAATTACTATACCATATTAATATAATAATATAATAAGAATTCTTACCACTTCTATCAATAGTTCGCCAAACATTTGATTTTGCATTTTTATTTTTAAATTGCATGTTTCTTTTATTCCACAGTTGTGGATATTTTTGTACAAGGGAAATTAGTAGATCATCATTCCACTCCATTGTATCTTTGATTTCACACAAGAAACAAAAAACGACGCTTGGTAAACACTAGTAACACAATACTAGACAAGTTTCTATGGCACAACTGTATCCACGTTTGATAACAAATATCAAAAAACAGTTATTTTATAGTCACTTAGATATAGGCATATTCCTAAAACTAAAATCCTAGGTATATGGATATAAAAAGAGAGACAGAGGGGAAGGCCCCAGGTGTTGCGGACATCGCTGGCGGAGAGGCACAATGTCCAGCGTCCAGCCGCGATACCTCCAACACAACCTACAAGCCCTTGCCTACCATTCTGTCTCCCCAGTTCCCTACCCTGCCTTATGGCTGTTTTCAAAATATTTATTTATTATTTGTGTTTACAATTGTGATAGTATTTTACAGTTTTTGGTTCACACGCTCTTGAGCGGTTATTATTACATTTTGTTTAATGAGTTACATCATGTAGTGAGTAAAATTTAGGAAGCATGCCTGAGGGGCCTTATATATTAAGAAAAACGTGGGACCGGGGAAACGAAAGTGGAAATCAAGGGCAACTTGGAAGCAATAGCGACGGGCACAGCCCGCAGTCATTGCCTGGGCCCCCTCTTCAACGACGCCCTGAACGGACTACAGAGTTCCTAATACCTCTGTGATGACCAGCAATTCAAAATAAACTTAAGAAGTCATGAAGACATAAAAAATTGGGCATAGACCGAGGTCTGAAATTACCTACTAACTAAAACTAAATAAATTGGTGGGTGGTCGTTGAGGAGAGAGTCCATTAATGAACTCAGCACAAACCAGGGATAACCGGCGCATTAACTGTAGGCCGTCGCCAATCCGACCCACAGCGGTCGACATCGAAGGACTTAAGGCTGATTTTAACCTCATGCCTCGAGAGGGTGGTATGAAATCGAATATTAGAAGAACCAGAGACAGGCGAGCTCCCTTGCTTGCCTACAGCACCCGCACAGCCCGCATCGGCTGGGCAAACCGAATACGAACGTCGCAAGCACTGTCGGCAAGCCAGGCAGCAGCAGACGAGTAAATAAGACCAGTAAGGGGCATTTTCACCTCATGCCCGGGAGGGCGGTGAATAAGAGAAGACCATAAAAAATAACCAGGACAGGCGCACGGTGGGATAAGCCCTATCTCGTTCTTTCAAAATCATTTGTGACTAAACGGGTAAATATTTTTTCATAAAATTTTGGTCACATGACCATATGCATATAAACCATAAAATATATGCACGATTTTAAATTTAGACCAGTGGCGTAGATTTTATAACGGAATTTATCATAATAATATAAATAATATTAAACATTAATGTTGTTTTTGGTTTAAATGTCAATATATGTTATAATTAAGCTTAAACAGTAACATATATTATTATAATTATTTATTAAACAATGATTAAATAAAAATAAAATTTATATTTTGTAAATTTTTATATTAATAATTTTAAAACATCTGCATCTAAAGTAGAATTATTTTTCTTAACATTAAATACCCTTTTGGCAGATATGGCTGGATCTGATGTTGCCAATAATAAATTAATAAGGTCCTCATTAGTGGCCTTCCTGGAAATTTTTCTTGTGTGACTTTCCCTTATCGACTTGTAGTCTTTATTTCGAGCTTCCTGTGCCTCCTCTGATAATTGTCCGATCGGTACATAAAAATGTTCTATAATTTTTTGTCAATGTATTAATATTTTATGCACTGACGATGGCATATAGAACAAATTATAGAGGGACACAAAAAGCTCGGCTGTGTAAATTGCATATGCCTCAAACATGTCCCCATTGATTTCTCTGCCCGAGGCCAAAGCTTTTAGAATTGTCGCAAATCTCCTTATCAGCTCCACATCCACCTTGGTGATGGAAGCAGTCAGTTCCGGATCTTCAAAAAATCTTCTGGCGGTATTACCATCGTTGGTATTCCCAGACCCCTGTTTGGGCATGTCTATTAGAAGACCTGTTTTTTTTCCTTGTTTTTTATAAGTTTGTGTTCCTCCGTTCTGGCTGACCAACATTTAATTTGGATTTTATAAGCCACATGGAGGATACATTCCATGAAACGTATCCATGCATGCAGACAGGAAAGTCTGTAAAATTAAAACTACCTATCAAAAAAATAAATTGTTACCAAATTAAAAAAGGATAGAAGACGTCCAGAGGGAAATATATGTCTGAACCGTGACATTGACAGTCGTGTCCCAACTATTATTATATATATATATTATATTATTAAGGGTCTTTAGTAAATACTACCGTAACTTGGGGTGAATTCGAACGCATTTTGATGTATTTTTAAAATAACTTCCGTATATAACCAAAAAAAAATCTACAAAAATTAATGTAGCATTATAATGCTATAATTATCAAAGCTTTCTCTATTAGTATACGAAAGCTCATTTTATGAAAAAAAAGTTTCTTCGAATTTACCCGGCATGTGGGGTGAATGTAAACAATGCTTTAAAATGTATAGAAACCAAAATTCCCCTTTCGTAGTGGCGAATTCGAACAAAATAAGATAAAAGAAAACGGGGTTTCTCAGGTAGAAACCGGATTAGAGTCACTAGGTCACTAAGATAAAGTGGATTTTGCTTTAAAACAGTTTATTAATAAAAGTAGGTACAACAAAATGTATATGAACGTGGGTACTAAATATTATATTTTATATAAAACATGTAACAAAAGAAACAACAACTTCTTAAACTTAAAAAAAAAATAAACGAAACAAAATAAGAATATTCTAAAAATTAAAAGGAACTTATTCTTTGGTAAATCGTTAAATGACCATCGGTTTCTTCTTAGATTTTTTGGCGACTTTAACTTCATTATTACATCGTTTCTGTTGACTAGGGTCTTATCCTTCACATCTGGATAATAAAAATAGATATAAAATTTGTTGGATTTTTTCTGTCTAAGAAAATCTACCAACAAAATCTCCGGCTGGTTTACATACATTTCAGAAATCTTTCCAATATAGTGTTTGTCGTTACTTTTACGGCATTTGAATCTGACTAAAATAAAGTCATTAACAGCAAGAGCTCCTCCAACAGGCTCTTCGTTTTCATCCATGCCAGGCATTTCATCATTGATTTGATCGTTCAGTTCTTCCTCCTCGGATGAACAAAGATTTTCTGATTCAGCTTCCGATGAACTTTGTGTTTGTGGAGTGTGGGCTCGTGGTTGTTTCAAATCACGAGATGTTATTCCTTTTCCAAGAGCTACATCATTTTTTTTCCTCTTTTCACAGTTTGTCGAAAAGCAGGTATTTTCACCTCGTGCCTAGGAGGGTGGTGTGTATAAGAAAACAAGAGAGTATGATGGACAGGCGAAGTGGGCTGACCCACCGACGCGACGGCGCACACGCGGCCCGCACCAGCTGGGCCCAGCCGATGCAGGCACCGCACGCGGCGTCCAAGAGCCCACCCACAGCAGACGGAATCAAAAGGACAGGAATAGTTTCACGCGAACCGCACGAGACGGACACTTCGGCGTCGCTGCCCTGTCGGCAGGTCAGACCACGGGTCGAAGTCGGACAAATGAGGGGCAGTTTAACCTCGTGCCCAGGAGGCGATTGAAGAATGGAGCCGGGGACAGGCGAAGTGAATTCAGCGGCAGGCGACAGTCACTAGTAGCAGCCACCGCCGACCGGTGAACCACAGCAGACAAATCCGAGCGGGAAGGGGGGATGGGCAGTTTTTGCTCATACCCGGGAGGACGGCAAAAGTTTAACCTCGTGCCCAGGAGGACAGATAGACGGTGTGCGCTGGTTCATTGGTTAATATTTGATATTTGATAGTTAACGTGAGACAGTCAGTTCTTGTTCATATTAGCGTTTCATTATATCTATAAGTGAAGTTAAAATCAGGTCAAGTTGAATTGGCCAAACGGGGAGCACCTCAGTAAGCGGGCCACGGTGAGTTTCGTATCGGGGGCAGGTCAAAATGCGGTGAGAAGGGTCGTCTATGGAGTTACATTCTGGGCAGTTGGGGTCATCTGTTCGGCCCACTAGGTGGAAGTGCCTTCTATACCGTCCGTGTCCGGTTAGAATCGAGGCCAGTGTTTCATAGTTTGTCGAACCACGACTGATGGAATGAATTGATTTGTCAATCTACCATTAGGGCAATCATCCCATTTGGTTTGCCATTCGTTCAGACTAGCGTTATCAATGGCAGTTATAGCGTTATTCCAACTTGGGTATTCCCTCGGTGGTGGCCAGCTAATGTTTAAATGAGAAACAGGCTTTTTCTTTCTAAAGCCAGTCAGGGCTTGCCTGGCTGATAGGTCCAGATACATGGGTTTGATGTTCAGCTGCCTCAGCTGAAACGTCACTCTAGCATCCAGTGGATGTTCGTGCGCAAAACGCTCTGCAAGAGTTGATTGCCCTGTCCGCTCTTACATAGTTGGCTTTTTCACGCCAAACTGAGAAAGCGTAACCAATAATTGGAATAACTGCCATTTTGTAGATTGCTATTAGACTGTCCGAGGGAGGGACCCATACTTTTGCCAGATGTCTGCGAATATTAGAGAATAACCCCTTGGCCTTAAGGCTGACCATTTTGATGTGCTCTTGGAAGTTCAAGCGGTGATCCAGAATGACCCCCAAGTACTTAGCCGAGAACACGCCCCGAATGGGTTGATTATAAATTTTAATAGACGGCCTCCTAGCGCATCTGCCTTTAAATACAACATAATTACATTTGGGTATGGAGAGAGCTAATATGTTATTGGTCGCCCAGGAACTGACCGTCTCAAGTGCACTATTGGTGACTTGTTCGATACCAGCTCGGTTTTGAGCAGAGGACAAGACTGCGATATCATCCGCATATGCGAACAGGCAAGAGCCATTGGCAAGAGGTGTCTTTAGTAGGCTGTCTAGAGCCGCGTTCCACAAAAGAGGACCTAAAACTGAGCCCTGAGGGCAGCCTTTAGATATAGGCCTGAAGACTTTGACCGGTCCGAGTTCAAAGCAAGTCTGACGATCTTTTAGGTAACTACGT